GCTGCTCTAAGAAAGTGGCACACCTTCCCGCTCTCCAAAAATCAAACTGTAAATTACTGTCTAATCGAAGGTTTATAAAGGAATACACTACTTCAGGTAGCTCCTGCTAAATACTAAATTTAGCTTAAATTTAACAACACTGCAGAGTGATATGACTAAAAACACCCAGCTGAGCACAAGTAATCATACTTGCTTGAGCCCAGATTCAAACATTTAATGAGCAAGTCAGTGCAAAGGCTTTCATCAGTTTTGAGTCATGTGTCTGTCCAAACTGAAGAAAGATGACTGACATCTAGTCCAACAATTTCAATCAAGAATTTTCTAGTCTTTAAACACCTAACAGTTTGGGACCCAATGCCTTATCTTCCTAGAAAACATGTTGAGCAAGGTTATTCATTACTCAGCAAATAAGCAGAGTTTCTGTTGACTTCTTACCACACACATGATGTAAGAGAGGATGGCCCCAGAGGAGCCAATGAGTGCACCAACAATGGTCAGCAAGTTGTTGTTCAGCAGAAAGCCCTCAGCACACAAAGCCCATCCAGAATAACTGTTCAGGACAGTAATAACTACAGGCATGTCAGCACCTCCAATAGCTGCTGTTAAAGTGACACCCTGGAAAAGGAAAGAAAATACTTCAGTATAAGCTATGATTAAGGAGAACATTCAGAGAACACAGTCTGTCCTCAGCACTGAAAAATAAATACAGAATCATAGATGGTTTGTGTTGGGAGGGACCATAAACATCATCCAGTTCCTACCACCCTGCCTTGGGCACGGATGCCACCCACTAGATCATGTTGCTAAAGCCCCATCCAACCTCACGTTTGAACACTTCCAGGGAAGGAGCATCCACAACCTTCCTGTGCAAGTATCAAGTTACCTAACCTATTTCTGTATTTTCAGTGCAGGTATAAATTATTCAAGGTGTGGCCTGAGGATTGGATTTATCAATTCTGCTTTTAGAGAGAGGACAGAAAGGAACCCCCTTGTCCTTATCCTGTGCTTAGTCACATATTTTTACTTGCAATAATATCCCCTCAACTCCACAGAACTGTTCATGCCATAAAAGGATTCATCCTGAGCAGTCTTTGAAAGACGCAGCTTACAGAACAGTAATGTTCAGAGTAAATTTTGCAACACTGGTGTGCATTGATGTGAGTGAATGGGAGAAGCTGTACATGGGGATAACATCAATAAATTGCCATGATAACCAGATATATATCCAGAGCTCTTTTAAGTATTTTCAGGATTAACTCTCCAAAAAGTCTTCTAGAATATCATTTTGACATGTAAAAAGGCTTCAAAAAGAAAGCTGCAAAAAGAAATTATATACATACATTCCTGTTTTCTGTAACAGTTCTGGTTTACAGCTAGGTATAGGAAAATCAACTGCCACTTGCTACTGCAGCTTACTTGCTACTGCAGTTTACTATACAGACCATGCTGACTGTGACTCAGGATGGTAAAACGCAATCCTTAAGAGGAAATGTGGAAAGGTGGAGAACAAACTGTTTCACCTCCTGCAATTCCTTAACTTACCATTATGGCTGAAAGTGCTGACACAGAACCCAGGCAAGTAATTCCCGTAGTGTAACTAGGATCAATCATGTATGGAACCATTCCACCAATGCTGGCAGCTAGCAATCCTGCATTCAGTGCATGTCGACCCGGCAAGAGCAGAGGTGCAGAGTTCAGGATACCTGCAAGCAAATGCATATTCACAGACTGACATGTACAATCATAAGTGCCTGTCTCTTGCCTTCAGAGAAGACTGAATAACTCAGCAAAAGAAAAATTAAAAAGAGAAATAGGGAGGGGCAGAAGATAAAACAAGTTAGTTGAAGCTGAGACTTTGTGCTGACTCAGAATCGCAACACATTCCACCCTACTCTAGATTCTCAAATACTCCTGTTTAAACTCTCGCATTACTTCCTAATTTCATTGAAGTGCTCCAGAATCATCACAAAAATCTCTTCTCCTCTTGAAAAGCCTCTTTTATTTTCTTCAAAAATGTCCTTTCATTTTGTTCCCAAGTCTTTGCATGTTGTATATGGCACATTGTAATAGGAAGCTTTTAGCTGGAACTTCTACACAGGTATTTTCTCAGTCTCTCAAAAGCTGTGTTGATAGAAAAATATGACTACTCAGATAACAACAAATACAGAACACTCCTGTTTGCAAATGCTTTAATTTCACCACTACCCTCAGCCTCCACATAGACCTCTCACAGCTTCCCACTTTGGCACAGACCTGGGGGGAAAAGGGAGTTCAGTATTTGTGTGATTCAGTTTAAAAAAACAATCACATATTTGTTTTCATATTAAGATTTTTTTTTTTACCCAAACTGCATGGCAAAGAGTAGAAGTGATGCAATCTTCTCTGTTACTTCTGATGTAAGTAATAATTGAGTGCCTCATTTAAATT